TGTCACTGTCTGGTGCTGGTACTTCGTTGCGGAGTGGGTTTTGTTCCCCCGTGTTCGTGTATGTGTCTGTCGGCCGTGCGAGCTCTGTCCCGTCCGGTACCTCTGCAAAGGGCCTTTGAGGGGAGAGTCGGGGAGCGGAGCAGGTGCTTCGGAAGGGAATGGCTATGGTGGTTTATCCAGGCTGGTTCAGTAGGGTATAGGATTCATTAAAATATTTAAGTCTTATAAAATACTTCCGCATTCTTAGATTCAGCGTAGCCATGTGGCAGTGATCCACAGGTTAAACCCTTCATGCCTGAGAACTTTGTGTGTTTGCTGTCTTATGTGTTGCCTTTTCGTTCTGGTGTGTGTCCCCCCCCCGTTCCTCCACCATGGCAGGGGAGAAGTAGGGGCTGTGCAGCCCACTCCCGTTTCATTCGGTTTTGAGGCTGTGACTGTCACAGCAGCATCCGAATGCTTCGGTGTACGCAGCAGCACCCCTCCTGCTCCTCTCCTCCATGGACAGGCTCATCAGTATGTCTTCCCAGGAAAATCTTCCCGGGCCTCTAATCCTTCTTCTTTTTGAGCTCTCCCCATCTGTGTCTATCAGCCAGAGTCTCTTCTCCTCCTCTGTCCCCAAACCAGCTTTGCCCCTGTGGCTTTATCCCTATCTTAACATCCACTCCTTGTCTAGACGCTCCCTGGCTAAATTATTCTCAGCCTGGTGGCTGGGGGATTAGGGAAGAGCTGAGGAGGTGGATGCAGGGCCTGATGGCTGTCTCCATGCAGCCCCTTGCCCATGGAGCTGGGGCAGCCTGCTGCAGCGCTCCCCGCTCATCTTTATTGCAAAGGGGCAGCATGAACTGCTCGTCCTTGCCCCTTGAAGATGTGCCAGGTGCGTTTTTCTCAGCAAAACAGCAAAGCTCCTGCACTGGCACTGTGAAGCAGCCTTTGGGGGTTGGGGGAAGCCCTGCTGGAGTCCCTGTTAGCAACATGTGGGAGAGGCCGTAGCTGCCAGCATCGCAGGGGCATGCCTGCTCGCTTTCCTTCAGCATTCATTTAGCCTAGACGGTCGGTACGAGGTATGGTGATTTAGGTGAGCCAGTTCTGTTTACTGATGCGCTTGTGGAGAGAGCAGGGAGGTGTGAGCATGCACAGGTCGGCAGGCTGTGGATTTTTCTGGCCTCCCTTCGAATCTGGCCTGCTGGCATGAACGCTTCTATTACTGAAAATTACTTCTAGCGGGAATGCTGAATCACGTACTCCCAACAACCAGGAGATACAGTAGGATGAAGGTATCATTCATTCAGTTTTCTTTACTGTTGGGGTTTTTTTTTTCCTTTCCCCTTTTCTCTTGTGTTCTTCTTATGGCAGCCCAGGCAGTGATGCCAGCAGGCTGGGCACTTCAGCATGATGCTCATTAGCAGGATTCTCCCTGATATTCATTTTAAGTTTATCTTTGAAATTTTCAGCTATTTCTAAGTCTCTTTGTGCAGGGCTGCCTGAAAAAAAAAAATCTTTAGTCGTGTTTTACACCCTTGAGATCTTTCCAGACTGCTGGCTTGTCCCCTCCCCATCTTAGTCATCCCATATTGTGCTAGACAAAATTAGCTCCTAACCTTTCCTTATAAATCAATCCCTCTGGCCTACTGGCAATTTTTTGTTGTTCTTCTCTGAACTCCGTCTGTTGTGGGTAATAGAAGAGGCAGGCTAGATCCAAGTAGGTGTCCATCCAGCCTTTCTCGGAGAGGTTGCACCAGGTTGCAGAGAGTAAGGGGCAAGTGGCCTCTAGTGGCCAGCCATCAATTAATGCACCGAAAGGGAGCACCAGTGCTCTGAGGCCGTGGGAGCTCCCTTCTCCAGAAGGCAGGAGAATCGGTAGGGTTAGGATCAGAGAACACACTTCCCATCCTCGCCCCTCTCGGCCCCAAAGCGGCAGACCCCTCCGGCAGCTCTGCCCCCAAGCCCCGCCGGCTCGGAGAGCCCTGCCGGCTCCGGGCGCCCACGCATCCCAGCCTGCTTTCACAGGGTGATGAGCAGGGGGATTGACGGAAACCCCGTGAGCACCTCACAGTCCCTCTGAAATTTCAAAGCAAGTCCCAAAGGCTCTCTTACTTTATTGCTAGTACAACTGTCTTGCTTTTAGCTGTTCAGCAGCATCATTAGAGTGACATATTTTCAGCATATTTCAGAACACACTGCTTTGGTGGGTAAAGAAGGATTAAGTGCTGTATTTTTCCTCCCTTTTAACTTCATTTAGGCAGTCAGGCTGTAGTTTTAAACTCAGTGTAAAATCTTGCAAAGCTGGAGCCAGCAGAGTCCGTTGCATCCAGCAGTTTTCCTGGCCATGGTTTTCCTCCCACCCGGAGCATGAATGCCCCTGTGAGCCTCTGCCTAGCTCCAGACAAACCTGAGCTTGCCCTGAAACAAAGCACATTGTTTCACAATGCTCAGAGTTTGCAGCTTCCTTTGGAGGCCCCACAAGGCACGTTAGTGGCACAGAGGTGGACCTGAGCATTAGCATTTTTTTGTTGTATTACCTTTACCGTTTTGCTAGTTTTTAGGGATTCTGCCACTACAGGAGCTGCCGTCCGAAGCCCCATCATACTTTTACTCCCTGTAGTAGTAGTGCTTGCAACGTGTTTTTGCAGGCAGTCTGTAGCTGCGGATGTTACGTTCCTTACAAATACCCAATCCTTTCTTTAACAGTCGTGATGCCGTGGCCCTGCAGGACTGCAGAGCCAGGTTCCCCCGCCAGCTCTTCCCGCTGGAATAAAGCATTCCCTGCCTTCAGTTTCAAATGTGCTGCTGTTTGCTTTCATGGAATGGAACCCTGTTCTGGAGTTAAATGTCAAAGGAAATATAAGGCATGTATTATCCTTTTCTCTACCATGTCTCCTACTAAAAAGCAGCTCAGTCTCTGCTTACAGATGATTTCCAGACCTTTCTCCTTTTTTTTGCTTTCTCTCTCAGAACCCTTTTGCTCTGTCTTTCTTGGGAAACAGGAGATGAAGTTGAATATTACAGCTTAAGATCTACGGAGTCAATTGGGTATTTTCATTCTTTTATGTCCTGTTCCTTATGGCCTGGACTCTGCATTTGCTTTTTAGATGTCTGTCTTGGCAGCATATTTCTCCTGAGCCGTTCAGGTCTTATCAAGGGATTCAATTACTGAAGTGTTCAATGAGGTGTATTTGAGGGGTTTCTTCCATTAAGTTTTGCCTTGTTCCTGATAATTAGGAGGGTGGACCAAGGGAGCATGCTTCACCAGTGGTCAGATTAGCTCCTCAAAAACTTGCCTTACAGATGGCCCTGGGATTTTTCGTTTGAATAAGCTAAATGTGTGCCTTCAGGTAGGCAGAGTAAGCAGAGACTGTAGTAGCATTCCAGTAGATTCTGGAATTAGAATTCTGGAGTAGCATCCAGTAGATGCTGGAGATCTTCAAAGACAGAAGGAGGGATGATGACGTGGCCTTACTGGTGTCACCTTTAGACCATCTGTTTTAGTGGCCTATATTGAACAGTGGTCCATATTAGGTACTTCAGATGAGATAGTAAGAAACCCCTCAGGAGGTCACCGGGATATAACCTATAATACTTCTTCCAAAGCTTTCATAGCTAGAGAATAGCTTGTTCTGAAAGATGGGTTTAACTTCTCCTAATTTTCTTTGTCGTAAATATGACAACTTGTTACCCAGAGAGATGGCCAATCTATCCTCTGACTTTGCAGTGTTTTCTTCCTCGATGACATCACTGAAGAAAATGTTTTTTGCCAGTTTTGCATTCATTTGTATTCTACCCTTGTAGTTTTAACGAATGTCCCTTTTCTTGTGCTGTGAGATGAGAACATTTTACTTATCCCTGCGCCCAAAGCACTGTGCATGTGCTTACATCTTCTCTCCTTCTCTGTATGAGTTCAGATGAGTTTCTGGAGGTTGGTATCTTCCCAGTACCAGTCTCTGTGCCATCTCCAACTCTTCCTGGGGTGCAGCCCATGCTGAGCTCAGCCTGCGCTGTTGGTGTAGATGATACGACTACAGCTGTTTCTGTGTTAGTCTCCATCCCACTCCTTGTGAACCATGGCACCTCATTGCCTTCACCTGCAGTTGCATATTGAGCAGAGCGCTCCCTCGGGCTGCCCGCAGGGTCTTCTGCGTCCCTCAGCCACGCTGGTGCAGACAGGGCACAGACCCGCAGTCTGAAGGTTGGCCTCTTTCCCTGTAACATGTGTTGTTTTGTGTTTGGTGTTTGAATGCTGAACTGTTTGTCCTTGTGCCATCTCTCTGGCCTGCACAGATCTCTCTGAGGTTCCTCCTGGCCATTTTGGTGTCTGCCCAATTAAAGCTAGGTGGCACAGGACCACTCTGCTGCCTGCTCCTGGCATGCCCTCCCAGCACCCGATCTCTCCAACTTTATCCTTCCCCGGTAGTCAGTCACACCCCAGCTTTGCACAGATGTCCTGGTGGAGATGTGGCTGAGCAGGAAGCCTTTCCTTCTCTTGCACAGCTCGTGCAGGAGCTACATGTAGCCGCTGTCTCGGTCAGCCCCTGCACCCTCCGAGCAGCAGGTCGTTCGGAGGAGGACAGGGTCCCACCTGCCTTTGAACTGTTGGAGACGGTGCACAAAGCAGCGCGGGCTGGGCCATTCTCGCCCCCTCGCTGCAGCGTGCCGGGGGACAGCCCTCTCCTAGTGATGCCGGGGAGGTTCCCCGAGGGCCGGTGAGGTGACCTCTCTGGGTTAGGAGCCAGGGGGGTTGAGGGCAGTGGCCAGCAGTCTCCCACGACATTCCCTTGTCCTGCCCTCTCTCCACAGGTTATGCCACTCTCCAGGTTTGCTGGGTGCCTGCCGGTGAAAGAGAAGGGTTGATATTTTGCCCAGGCCCTTAGGTCCTGAACCAAAATGGCAGCTGGAGAGTCCCCTCCCGTAGGAGATGTCTTCATCGACCTGCAGCAGGTGAGGTGGGAATCCAGCAGCAGCGGGGCCGTCTCTTCCCCGGGGACCACGCTCCTGCCAGGCTGAGTGCGGGACCTGCGTCCTGGCAGCCTGCTGCAGTAGGAGACACCGCCTCCGTTCCCTGGGGACAGGTCTGCACGAAGGGTGCCCCAAGGCTGCCCACGAGCCCACATCCACTCTCCATGCAGACAGCAAACTGTGGTCCAGAAGAGGCCAGAGGTTGCTCTGTGGGGTCTCTGTGCCTTCACATGCCGTTGGGTGGGGTAGGCAAGTGGCAGGAGGAGCTGGGCAGCTTGCAATTAGACTCTCCCCATTTAGGCTGGGCCTGGGACACCCATGCTAAGGTGAGAGGAGAAGCGGTCTCCCCTATAGATAGAACGCCGCTCCCGGGACGCAGCTGGGAACAGCGAGGGGATGCTGGGAGAGGTACAACCCGGCTAAAGCTGCCTTGCTCCGTCTTTCTGCCCAGCACAGACAGATTTGTCACAGTTGGACCTCCTCCTGTTTCCATGGAAACACGGGAGTCCACAACAGCTCTGCGCTGGCATTTCGGCTATATTGATGGAAAATTTTACCAGCTGCAGCTGGTTGGGAGGCAGAAAGGACAGGAGTCACCTGGTGATGATGCTCTTCTCGGAGCATCTCCACCAGCAAAAGGCAGAGGAGTGCCCACAGCCTGAAACAGCAGGAAAACAGGCAGAAAGGCCTGAAGAAGGCATGCCAAGGGGAATGGGGTCCCCTAGGAGTGCAGAGGGGAGGTGGGAAGGCACAGGGTGGTCACTGACCCAAGCGCAGCTCATCAGAGCAGGGATGCTGTTTCCCAGGGGGAAATACAGAGGAGGTCTAAGAAAGGGAGGGATGGCAGACTGGGCAAAGGGAAGGCCAGAAGACAGCAGGTTAGATGTGAGGAGAGAGAAATTCCAGCTAAACAAAAGCTATGCATCTCCTCTGGCAGGAAAGACGGGCACTGACACAGGCCTTTGATACCAGCCACTCAGGGGAGGAGTGGAGGACCGCTAAGGTATCTCAGCAGAGTGCGGCTTGGAGGCTTTCTGATCTGTTCTGGCTCTTGGTTTTGAGCAAAGCTGTGCCTCTGAGAAACTATGCCCCAGCCCTGTTGTGTGAAGCCTGCTGCTCCTCAGCAAGCCCAGCATCGTTTGCAGGGCAGGAGGATCCAGAGGGCTGCAGGGGTCTGCAGTGTTTGATTCTTGTCTGGCGATTTCTGTGCAGGGCAGAGATCGTGCAGAGAAAGCCTCTCCTGGTGCCGAGGACGATGAGGACTTGGATAAGACTTTGTCAATCGAGAGATTTGGGGACCTGATAAGCAAATCAGCATCAAGCAATCTGGAGAAGCAAAGACGCAGCTACAGTGAGAGAGATTTTGAATGTATGTAGGTTTGAACTGTTGTACCCACTTCCACCCCCGCCACCAACCCTCGCTCAGCCCCACGTGCTCTGTGCCTTGTGCCGGGACCCTGCAGATCGTGAAAGCCTGCTATTCACTTCCTCCCTTCAGAGTGTTCCCAAAGTGCTACATACACCCCGTTTAGCACCAGTGCCCACGACCTCTTCCCAGTCTGTTCCCTGTTTTCCCCGTCGCTGCAGGCGTAGCTACTGCCCAGCCCACGCGGCAGCATAGCTTAGCCCGGGGTGTTCGCTCACCTCCTCACCCAGCATTGGGGACCTCTGCAGCCACTTCCCCCATGTTGAAATTTCCAGTTTGAAACTGCGTTTCTTCCATATGGCTGCAAAGAAACATCCAAATATGGCCAGAAGCCAGGCTGTCCTCCCCAGTCTGAAAGCAGATGGCTCCAGTCAGACATGCCTGTGTATTTCTAAATAGCAACCACGAAACCATCAGGCTTATCTGCTCAAAGAAAGGACTGCAAAATAAAAATGGGTGTGAATTTAAAATGCTGTAGCTATCTCACCTGAACTCCACTGATCAGCATATTTATTCCTCTGCCCTTCCATGACAAAGGCAACCAGTCTACCCAGACTCACTTCGGCTGTGAAATGAGAGTGTGCCCACAAGAGTGGCCATAAGCTATTGCCTGGTGTAGGTGGGTTGCATTAGCTTGTAGTAACAGCAGTGAAAGGCAGGAAGAAGAGGCCCCCGGCCAAAAGCCTGCTTGTGTGGCAGACAAGTAGCAATGGTTAGGAGAGTTTCCCACTCTCTGGCTCTTCACACTTGGATACTGCTTATTTTCCAGCTCAGTTTTGATGGGATACAACCTTGGGAACATTATGTTCCAAGTACCTCACCAGGCTGTTTTCTGCTTGGCCACTCATTTCCAATGGCTGTTGTAGAAGTTTTCTGGTAAAAATCTATTACTGTAGTGCACCCCAGCTGCTCCTTTCTGCTTGTGTCATTTCTCTACAGAGGCTCCATTCAAATAACACTTTCCACCTGAGCACACAGTCACTCGCGCACATGGCTGCAAGGTGCTACTAGCTTTGCTGTGGGTTGAATACCTGTCCTGTGCTGGTAGGACTTACCTGCTCAGAAGCTCTGCCTGTGTGCACAGGTGTGTGGGCTGGCTTGGAGGACATGGACGGTCTGCTTGAGCATGCATGACAGAAGCTTCTTTGAAAATTTGACTAGAGATTTGTACTGTTTTGGTGGGGTTTTTTTCTTCTTAATAGGAGAGTCCTTCCTTCTTTGTCAGAATGAAGCTTGTTTTCCTCTGAGCTCCTGATGTATCCTTGTTATCTAGGACTACATCAACCCTGGTTATCAGAAGTTTTATGCAGTTTGTATTCATAAAGCTGGAAGATCTGGTTAGGTCATTAGACTTTGGAGGATAACATACCAGCCCATGGAGGTGAATGCTCTCTGGGTTTAGAAATGTTTCCTGCCCTATTCAAAGCCAGGAATTCCTAATATGTAGGCTCTTCCTTCTGGGCTCCCTATCCAAATTACTTTTTCATATCTCTTGTACCAAGTTCACTGAGAAGTGTCGTCAAAGATCTGGGACAGTGGTTTGGCAATAACTTTCCATACAGGCAGGCAGTGCAAGGAAGGGAGTAGGGAAGGAGGGCAGGGCCTGGGTGCACAGGAGTTGCAGGAGGACAGGGAGGAAGAAGAAGGAGGCATGAAGCCTTGTGTGTTTGGGAGAGGTACACTTTTCCCACCTCCAGACCACCTCTGTGGAGATGTGATCAGTTGACACAAGGAGTGGTGAGTACAGGGGTGAAGAGCAGTGCTCCCCTCTTCTGTGCCAGATCAGCCACTTACCATCACTGCCTTCCCCTGCAGCCCAAGGCTTCAGTTTCCTTCTGATCTAAAATGTAAACGTTTCTGTCTTGGGCTGATGTGAGCAAGCCAGAAGGGAAAGATGGGCTATGTCCTCACCAGCAGCTTTGTGCTGTAGAAGGAGCAACGAGTGTACAGTTGGGGCCTTCCTTGCTTCTTCTTACATGAGAAATTCATGCCTGACCTATCCATGGCATGCAGAGCAGTGCTACAGGAGTGCAGCAGCAGGGCAGGAGGACCTTTCTGCCAAAACCTGCGAGTGAAATAGGGTACATCTAGTTAAGTCAAAGAACTAGAGAACACTTTGGAGGAAAAAGTGTTTATAAAGAGCCCAAACTCTTTCCAATTTGCAGATGTCTGACCATTCCCAGTCTCCTCTAATCTTCCCACAAGCCTCTCCTGTTGAACCAGGGGCGTGTGTGAAATATCCCTGCTGTTCCCAAGGGGGGAAACAAGGGAGAAAAGACTTGAGAAACCAAAGGAAAGGAAACATGACAGCAGAACAATGAACCTGCCTGGCTCTCCCAGGGAGAAGGTTACAGATTCCATTGAAAATGTCCTTTGAAGGTAGTTTTCACTATAAACAGATTTTGCTGCCATGTCACAGGAAAGCTGGGAAGGAACCAAATCAAAACAGACTGGAAACAATTCCTCAGGAAGAGCTGCTGAGCGAAGCCCCCTTGCGAAGTGGCTGGTGCCCCCGTGATTTCAGCTGCTCCGGGTGCAGCCCCAGGATCTGTGCATCCTGCAGACCGCCTATGCGAGGCTTTGTGCCTGCAGATAGACCTGGCAGAAATGGCTTTCCTCTCTCTTGCAGGGAGGTGCTGAGCTTTCCCTGTTCCCTGCGTGGTGCATTATGGTTGGTTTTGAGTGAAGGCTCAGAAATGCCATTAATTTCTTCTCACTCTGTAATTCCCACGACACCCAGGTCAAGTCTGTATGAATTTCTCTTTGTAGATTAGTTTAAAGAAAAGTCTTTCTGCCCTGTTTTTTACCCTGGTTTTTAAAAGACAGCCTTCTAATTGAACCTGCATTTCAGAGGCTGGTAGGCACAAGCCCTCACAGTACCTGGGATGTGGACTTAGGTTGCATCTGCACCAAAAGGCTTGGTCTGTGGTTCCTGTGGGTACGCAGGAGGGACTTTCTGTCAAAGCCTTGGGGGATAAATAAAGTGCATCTCTTTAACTCAAAGAACACTATGCAGGAAAGAAATGTTTGTAAAGGGCCCAAATCATGCTTGTTTGAGAATGCAAGAAGCGTTCCCCCATGTGTAGGAAGGGGATGGTGCCTCTGGCAGGCCACTGTAGTTCTGCGTAGCCATGCAAATGGCTTTCGGCAGCACTGGGAGAGGAGTCCTGCCTTCTCCAGGGCAGTAGACCTGTGTTGGGGTGATTTGGCACTGCATGGGGGCTGCCTCCCCAGCCACCCCAGGCTGGACACAGCCTGCCACATCACTGAAAGAGCTTTGCTATGTCCCTGCGGGCTGGTGGCTCTCCTTGCCCTTCCTGGCCCTTGATCTCCAGACCATGCTGTTTCCTGGAGGGGCGCCTGGCAGGTTCCTCCCAGCCTCTTCCTGCCCCTGACTCTCTTTTTCTCTCTCAGTCCACCGCCGAACCTCGCACCACATCCATCATCCCCTTTCCACTCACCTCCCTTCTGCCCTCAAGTTCCAAAAGAGGCCCCCCCGTGCCAACAGGAGGAAAAAAAGGAGGAGGAAAAAGAAGAAAACCTCAGTACCCCCTTCAGAGGTGACCCCCACCATCCAGGAAGAGGACGAGGAGGGGGGAGAAGAGGAGGAAGAAGAGGAAGAAGAAGAGGAAGAAGGAGAGTCTGAGGCAGAAGAGGCCCAGGAGAAAGAGATCTCTGCAGAGTCTGAGGGCGAAGCTCGTGGGAAGGACACATCCCCTAAGCTGGAGCCCCCAGGCAAACCAAAGGCAAGGCTAGGGCATCCCTACCTGGACAGGGCTCGGAGGCTGGGCGGGAGGTGGAGGGAGGGTTGATGCCAGGAGGGTGCCAGGGTGTATGGTCATGGGAGTGTGCTGGTCAGGGGGAAGAGGCTGTAGCTGTGCAATATTGTGGGAAGAGTGGTTTTGTCCCTGCCTAGCAAAGATGGGCACTGGAGGACAGTGATAGATAAGCCATTGCTTGGGATGGATGCTGGGGAGGATGTGCATGACCATTTTGGGGGTGTTTAGAACCATGGGAGAAGATCAATGTGGCTCTTAGGATATGGGGGGCTCAGTATGGCCAGTCGCAGGGTATGGGGCACGTGGGGGAAGTCGGTGTGGCCCGTTCTAGGAGGTGGGGACACGGGGAGGATCTGCACGTCAGAGACTGAGGCAAAGGCTGCCTGCCCCAGCTCTTGCTGTCAGGACCGTTGTCTCTGCAGTTCACCATCGGCAGCGATGAGGAGGAGTCCGGCAGCGCTCTGGCCCCTGCGCAGTTCCACGTGGAGGAGGAGTGTGGCATCCTGTCCCCTGTGCCACGCTTCGCCGACCTGCTGCAGGACAAGGCCCCTGCCTCGCTCCGCAGGTAGGAGAGTGGTGCTGAGCTGCCTGCCACTCTCCCCAGCTCAAGGTTGCTGCACAGACCCTGTCCCCAGGGGTAGCGGCTGTGCCCAGCCTGAACTCGCCTGCTGAGCCAGAGGGGACCTGGGGCCTGGAGAGAGAGCGGCTGTGAGCAACACGGCTGGCCCCCGGCGAACCCGGCTGCCCCCCGGCGGGACAGTCACTCCCTGGGACTCCTGTGACCTCCCTGGGTCCGTGGGATCCCCAGGGTGCAGGTCTGGGGGCACTGGGCTGCACACGTGGAGTACCTTCCCTCCCAGCCAGCGTGCACTGCCGTGCTGACCCGCAGGCTGGGAAGCCCCAGGGGGCTCGGCCGAGTCAGGGGACCATGAGGCCATTGACTCAGAGGTGGGTCCCCAACACTGACCACAAGCTGATCCCGCTCTGCAGTGGGGGAAAGGAGGAGCGGAAGGGGCAACATTTAGGTGCTGGGTGGGTAGACTCCTGGCTCTCCTCAGGGACTTGCTGCTCAGGGCTGGGCTGAGCGACCTCAGCCCCTGAGAGGGGCTGGTGCCCATCCTCACTCACCTCATTTGCTACCATCAGTCGTTTTGGTTTCCACAGCCTCCCCGGGCCTCGGGAACGTCTGTCTCGTGGGTGGGAGAAGCGCAAGCCCTGGGGCCAGGTGGCAAGCGGACAACGGGTTACCTATGACTTGAAGGAGAGAATGTGCATCGGCAGCATGACCACGCTGGAGAGCGCGGCGTACCAGCGCGTCCCCACGGACGAAGCCGAGGCCCAGATGCTGGCGTCTGCTGACTTGGACGGCATGAAAAGTGAGGCTTTGTGACACTACCTGTGCTACTAGTGCGCGTGTCCCTTGCTTCTCCCTGCTTTGCCCTCTTCCCTAGCAGCTCCGGGCATGGTCTTCAGCCTGCCGCAGGATCTGCTCCTCACCTCCCTGTCCCCCAGCCCCTGCTGTTCCAGCCCTGGCTCTTCTCTGTCAGCTTTGCAGTGTCCACAGCACTGGTCCCCATGTTCCCAGCACTTCTACTCACACCCACCCCACAGATGCTTGCTCCTCCCCCCGCCCCACTGCCCTCTCTGGTTCAGGGCTCCCTACGTTTCCCTGAGACCCAGCTCTCTCCTCTCCTGACACACTTTCCCAGCAATCAGCCCTCTGTGCGACACGCCAGCTCTGGCATCGCAGAAAACCTGAGGTGAGGAGCCTCCCGTCTCCTCCGCTCTCCTGGCAGAGAGGCAGCTGCCCCCTCCGGAGCGCCTCGGAGGGGGACTGCCCCTGTGCGTGGCTCGAGGGCAGACAGAAGAGACGTCATGGAAATGCACGCTCCGGGCCTGAGGACATGGAGAATTCAATAGGTTGCTCTGCAGGCTGGAGAGGGAGGGAGACACCAGAGGGGAGCGAG